CCATGACAAGGATTGTATGCAACCTCATTATAGTTGGAGTAGTTGAGTGGGTGTTGTATCTACCCAACTGGTGGATAAATTGGACCTTATTATTCAAAAACACTCTCGACCATAATCCCTTGGTTGAAGAAGGGAATAAGATCAATGTTAATCAGTGACGCCTAGTTGTGTTTTTCATTGATGACAGCATGTGGTGTAACATCGATTCACCGCCACTTATTGATCACGTAGTTGAAGTTATTTATTCTATTGTGTTGAAGGACTTATTTGTCGCTAATGTGAACTTTTTGGAGATATGAGCACAGAGAGGCCCTTTGAGCCGTATCGCAGATTTGATGACTATTTGTTCTTTCAAAACAAGCTATACATATCTAGGAATTTACTTAGGAAGAGCATTTTGCAAGAGTGCTATAATGGTGGGATAACAAGGTATTTTGGTAGAAACAAGACTCTTTATTTGGTGTAAAAAAATTTTTTAGCCTAGGATGACATGAGTTGGGGAGGGGTTCTATTATTATTGTAGTACAAGGTATGCCACAATCAAGACTTACGGTTAGAACACGAATCTCAATATTTTGCTTCATCTGTTAGTGGCATCTTGGGTATATATGAGCATGAATTTCATCATCAGTCTTTCACGGACCCATTAAAGTAAGGTTCTATTATTATTGTAGTAGATATCTTCTCCTAGATGACACATTTAGTACCTTACCACAAGATAATGGAGGATTCACACATTATAGTTTTATACTTCAAAGAGATAGTTCACCTTCATAGTATGTCTTGAAACATCACTTTAGATAGCTATGGGATGTTTTTGAGTCATTTATGGTATTTATGGAGTTAATTTGGTATAAAGTTTCAATTCAACTCAATAGTAGGCTTGTATCGGAGCTTAGAAAATCTCCTCAATTTTTTTGTTGTCCAACACATCAAACAATGAGTTTTGAAACTGACGTGGACAAATTGAAACAATGACAAAAATTGTTTGCACAAAAAGGTGCCAGTGGGGTGTCAACTAGCAAACTGATTGCTATGTCATAAATAATCCTTCCCCTAATAGATTTTTGGATTGATCATAAAATTCCTGATAATTAATTTGATTATTTGTTTTAGCTTACAAAACACACCTATCTCGCTTAAGTTATTAGGCTTATCCAAAATTATTGCCATCTTTTTTGTCTCAACAGACTTAATTTAACTGGTTCTCACCAACGACTAGTATAGACCTATCCCTCTCAAAGCACCTATTGTGGATCGTTATTGTCATGCTCTAACATGAAGGATCCTGGTTGTAGATGGATGAGTTCTCTATTATCCTATTTTTTATTTAGATTTACAGTCTGAGATGGACGAGTTCTTTAATTAGATGAATGACCTGTAGTTTCTAATTTGGCCAAAAGATGAAGTTGTATAAACTAGCTAAATAATATATGAACATTATCTTTATTATGTTTAATTATAAGCCCTTGCTGTCTCTCCTTGGAAAGAACTAAGAGGAATTTTAGGGCAAAATCAACCATAGAAGATGTCTTATGAGGCATTTTGAATTTAAGGCAATGATTATGTTTTTATCATTTTATATCTCAATCAATTTGATGAGTTTATCTATGGTTTGGGATAGCGTTATCAAAGCACAATGTTATACGCACGACTTTCTATTTGCTTCAAAGCGCAAAACACAGAGTAAAGCAACACCTTTATTAATCAAAGCTCTGATAGGTTATACAAAACTATTAATTTAGAAATACATTCATTTATAATTATAAAATTTAAAGCATGACTTAAAAGTTGATATAAAATTAAAATGAATGTGGTACAATACATATCTTGAAATAAAACCTTAAGTTTGAACCTAAAAATTAAAATTTCGAATATTTTCTAATTTTTTGCTGCAATAATTAAAAATTTAGAAAATGTAAGAAAAACCTGCGAATTACTTAAACAATACTTTGAAACGTGCTTGAGCGAAGTGACATGGTTGTCAAGTGCTTCGCTTAATTTTTTTGTAAAGCATGCTCCTAAATATATTGGTTTGGGACTTGTAAGAATAACTTAAGAGTTGAATACAAAATTCATCAATGACCTTCATGATTACATGTACTGGAAATATGAGCCTATGCTTTACTATTAGTGTTATGGAAGCCTGCCACAGGATTTTGAGCTAGATAAATATCATAAGTTTCGATCACACACTCCATCTCAGAGCAGTTTAAATAGTTGACATACCATCCCTAGTCGATCACCATCCCTGTATGGTTGAATAACTAAGGTTTGCCCTTGAAGCCTCATTTTGTACCACAACAGGAGTATTCCAGTCATACTGGTCACTGTTTTGAGAATCACTTGCTTCAAGCATCTTTGGATGGGTCATACCATCAATAAATGGCCTTAAATTAACCTTCTGATGGATTGAGGGAAATTTCTTTTTATTAAGTTAGAAGAAGCTGAGAATTTGTGTCATGATGAGCTTCCAAGTGACAAGTATGCACAGTTTTTTGCTGACAAATCTGCATAGTTATAGTAGATGCATTTTCACAACCCAACCATTTTTTGAGCATTGGAGACACTACCATATTCTTGATGTATGCAACGGCAAAGAACAAGATATGTAATTTAGTCATTGGTGGTGGGAATTTCATAATGAAATCTCTATATTAGCGTTGCTTATAGTAGGCTGATACCTAAGCCGCATTCCTACTAATTTTTATATGGCCTTAGTGAATTAGACATTTCTGCTTGTTTTTGAGCATTGTTGTTTTGTTTCTATCTAGTTGCACAGCTACAAAGTTTTGGGAAGATGTAACACCTATGAATGTTGCACGTCCTCTCTAGTCATCATTCGTTCAATTACATGAATGCTACCCACTATAGACAGAATACCCTTTTGTCTTTAACTTCCGCGGTACCTTTATTCATTTCTTGCTAAAATTATAGTCTTTGTGTGAGTTAGCCACACAAGCTTATAGTCAATATAAAGTCTACTTTTAGCTATGCTCATAAGTTGGTTAGCCAATTAATTGAGAATCGGCCTGTGCTTTGAGTTTGACTATATCTTTTATGATTTTCTTCATTTTTGCTTCTATGTCTGCCCAAACATATGAGGTGTTGGCATAGTCCTCTGTGGGGTTGGACCATACCACATTCATCTTCTCATTTGTTATTTTGTGGTTGTAAGGTCTTTTAAAAAGATATTATTAAGCTCCTGATCTGTTTTTTCATATGATATTTTTCCTCATGCTCCTTGAGTTTAGTTTTCCTAAGTTGCAGTTTGGCTAAGTCTTATATTAAACATGTGCATGACCTCAAAATTAAAGTCATTTTGTATTGTAAGATTGTTGTTTAAGGTTTGTTACATTGTACAGTAATCATATCATCGCTTCATTAAAATAATAGCTAAAAGAGGGTTACAAAGGTGGGTTGTCATCAAAAGCTGCATTCTTGCTTGGATTGTATACTTTAGGGCTAGGAGCAAGAGTATGTTCGATATATGAAGCGGGAATAGAGTACTACTCGGTGAATAGATTTGAAGAAGGGAATGTGGTGATTTTTTAGACATGTATTATGTATTATGTATTTAAACATGCAGTTAATATGGAAGCTGTCAGGCTATAGGGCAATTGTGTAAAAGAAAGAGCGTCATAGCTTATAATTCCAACTAACTAAATCATGTGTTGGGCAATCTAATGAGTTGAAAAGGTGGCACAAAGTTAAATGTTCTTTTGGGGAAACTAAAGATTGAAATGGTGGCTTATGAGAGGTTGTCATAGTGGAGGTGATTCTTTGCATGTAGGGTTGAGTGGTCTTCGAGTCATGTTGATGTTGCCATGAGTTTTCATTATATTAAAGGTTAGCTATGGTGCTGGTTTTCATGGTTAATTCAGAGCAATTTCTAATGTAAATGTCCATTGCCATTTAAGAGCATGTTCTAATAAGAGAATGCGATGTCATGAGTATGTTGTGCAGGGAGATGCTTGATGAGTGTGGCGGAGATTGTCATAGCTTTTTGTAGATGTAGCCTCTTGTTGTTTCTATAATGGCGGGTGTTGTTATGAATGCATAAAGGGTATTACGAGCATCATTGATGGGAGAAATTTCTTGAGAGGTTTTTCAATCGGAGTGGGTGAAAGCATTGTGATGTTTAGTGTTGGAACTTTATTATTTTCATTTAAATACAGGCTATATTGAGGTAAGTCATATATATTATGCATCTTTGGGCAGACTTTCTAGAATGAATTTATCCTAGGATCATATATACTCTATTTCATTGGATGTTATCAGCCCGTTCATGTACAAGTGAGATGTTGAAGGTGCCAACATGTATCAAGATAGGTATTAGGCTTCTGTCCATACAAAGAGGAATTGGGGATGTCTTCCTAATTACGTTTTGAAGAGTACTGGTACTACTTCATGTAAACTTCAAAATCAATATTACACCATGTTTATGATTTATGATATGAAATTTGCTTTTGGACCAGGTTTCATAAGAAGTTGGATACTTCTTTGTTACTTAAAAATAAAGATGATCTCATCATATAGAAATCTAATTCAAGTCTGTTTTTAGTCTTGTATTAGAACCATCAAATATGTTTCAAATATCACCAGCAACCCACGGATTTAAATCAAGCTATTTGAAAGTTCTGTGTTGAAATTGCAATTAAGTTGTGCAATTTCAAGCCATTGATTGAGAATAAATGATGCATCCAATCATGATTAAATGTTAGCACTGCATGGAAATACATTTTTTTTAATCTTAAATTTGAAGGTCATACGATGGAAAATCTAAGATATGTATAAACAGACAAACACATTAAAATGCTAATTCTCTCAGAAAGTTTACCATCATGATTTTGATTGATATAATAATGTCGAATCTATTGAAATTTTCTCATATAAAGCATATTGCATGTTTTGTATTTCTAATGAGCTGCCTTGTTTCGTGGTTTCCTATAAAACATTATTGCTCGACTTTTATTTTTTATTTTACTTGTGCCTTGTAGGCTGTTGGAGATGGAAAGAGGTCTTCAGCCAAAGTTAAACGAGCTTCTCAAATTTTGATGCAACAAAAACTAGGAAAATCTACTAAATCACAGGAGTGTCATTTTAATGCCAGTGATTTGGGAAGAGTAGTTGTAGATCCAAATGAGACAGCTGTAGCCGATTCTTCACAAAATGAAGTAATTTTCTCTACAAAAAGTAGGAACCGTCGTAAGATGGATTTGAAGAAAGCATTGGCAGTAAAGGATCCAAAATCTAGTGAAACTGGTGTAGAGGAACATATGAATAGATACCCATTCAGCAACAGAACATATGATCTAAAGGTCTTTTATTTGATCCACTTCTTTATGATGAAGTTCTCCTTATAAGCTCTTCTTATATCTAATATGATAATAAATGCAGGAAACACTTTCTCACTGCTTATCCTCTCAACTATTACGTAGATGGTGTAAGTTTGAGTGGTTCTACAGTGCTATTGATTACCCATGGTTTGCCAAAAGTGAGTTTGTTGAGTACTTGAATCATGTCAGACTGGGTCACATACCTAGGCTTACACGAGTTGAGTGGGGGGTTATAAGAAGGTATCCTTTTTTTTTTGGCTTGTGTTTTAGTGATGCTTTGTGGCAGCCCAATGATAATGTATCTATACCACAGTTCTCTTGGCAAGCCACGCCGATTATCCAGCCTGTTCTTGCAGCAGGAGCGGGAGAAGTTAGAAGAATATCGGGAATCAGTTAGGTTTCATTATGCTGATCTCCGTGCTGGTGTAAGGGAAGGATTACCAACTGATTTGGCTCGCCCTCTCTCAGTCGGACAGCGAGTTATTGCCTGCCACCCAAGAATGAGAGAAGTTCATGATGGGAGTGTCTTAACTGTGGATCGTAACCGCTGCAGGGTTCAATTCGATAGGCCTGAACTGGGGGTAGAATTTGTAATGGTGAGAACATATTTTTCTTTTAATATATATTTTTCTCATTTAAGTCTTCATATTTGATAAAATTTCTTTGGAAAATGCCATTTTTAATATTAGCTTTTTGAGTCTTTTTTCTTCCAACACTTCTAATTCAGTGCACTATTAATTTGATGTGTTAAGCCACTCCAATGAAAGTATGCCAATTAAACACTGAAATCTTTTTTTAATGGCTTTGGTGCACATTCAACCATTGAAAGGTTACCTTTTCCAATTCAAACTTATTATTTAAGCTCAAGGGGTCCACCTTGCCTATAGGGTAGGTTTGTAGGCCCCATTTACCTCGATGAAACAAAGCTAGAGTTGACAAAACTTGTATACCACAACTTTAAAGTATTACAAGAATAATTCACATGCCCTCTATTTTATAATTTAGGGCCATAAGGCCTACTTTTTACGTTCAATCCTCTCATTAAGGACTAGAGCCGACAAAACATATCCACACAATAAATTCAAAGAAATCATGACTAAATAATGCATGAATAAATAATGATTTATATGCTCTAGAGCCGACAAAATATACCACAACATAGACAAGGGGCATTGTCTGTTCTCTTAGTCATATAAGTATAATTGTGCATTGAGATTCAAACCTTTCATAACAAATCTTACTAATTTTTTATTTAACATTTGCATAAAGATTTCAAATCTTTTTGCAAAGAAAATTCACTTTTAAAATGCAAGTCCCAGGGTCATCTCACCTATCTACCATGCTATAAGCTCTTACTTTTAGGCCCAATTTTTGTCCGAAAGCAACTATAGTGGGGAAGGTTTAAAACAAAAGAGTTTAATTAAGAAGCCTTATGAGAAGTATGGCTATTATGCATTACATTTAGAGGGGTTCAATATTGAAATCATGCTCTCAAGCATAATGAAAAATATTGTATGCAAACTTTTTCCTAATGATGACCACATTGATAGAGAATATTAGCTTCATTCAGGGATTTTCTTATGGATTTTTTTATCAAACATGACCTTAAATTCGGAAGAAAGCTATAAAAATCTAAAAGAAAAAAATAACTCAAACAACAATTCAGCTTTCCAAACATAGAGTACTCAAACATTCAACTCATTCATCTGCCACTCCAAACCTAGAGTACTCCTTTTATATCTATATATATTATATTTTATTTATATCTCCATGTCTTTTGTAGATTTGCAGTTATGAAAATAAATTCAATAATTAACTTATATGATTCAAAAGAGAGTGCATGATCTTTATATATAAAACAAAGAAAGCAAAACACAATGAATTATTTATGGGTTGTTATGCTATGCTAAAAAAAAAATAAAGGGTTCTTCAGTTTATTGCAGTCTTCTTATTTTCTTCTTATTTGTCTAAGCATGATAAAGGAGAATGCTCTTATTTTTAATCAATTATTACTTGCTTGAATAATAGAGGGACGTCACTTTGGAATCTAATAGTGATGCTGTTAGTCTAACTTGATAATTTTTTTTTATTTTAAGATTTGTGAATATTGATGATGATCTTCAATCTTGATGTAATGCTTTTATTTGTGATATATACAGTGGTTTGTTACCTGTTTTGTGCTGCATCATTCTTTCTAAGAGGAGAATCACTAATTCTTCTCCCTCCCGATGAGATTTTGATTTTATCACTTTCTATTATAAGATAAAATCTATCATTTTCTTTCACATTATTTGCATGATTATTTTATCATTTTCTTTCACATTATTTGCATGATTTTAAGAGTTTTTAAATTTGTTTGATTATTAACTAAACGCATCAGTTTGCTATATTTCATGATAAGGTTGTGATTTTAGAAGGCCGGAGCTTTCAAATGGCATCAAATCAAATACATAGTTTATTATCGTAAGCTGTAAACATTTGATAATATTGATTTTTGAGTACATGGATTAAACTAAAATTAAAAAATAAAAAACTTCTTTGTGTTACTCTATTAATTTTATATCTTTTGATATACTTGATGATGAATCATTATGAAATTTGATGAAACTTAATTGATATGCAACTCTAATGTGGTCGACCACAATCAATAATATGATATTGGGTTTGACGATTATATAAAGTGGTACTTGTAAAAACTAAATTGATACAAGAATACTCGTTCTTCCCCTAGGTGGAGAAAGTCCATCTCCTTATTTTACTATCCGTAGGAAGTCCATGTCTTGCGTGTGGGTGCATGCATGCAGGATTGATATGTACAGATTTGATGTTTTGTTTCTTTTTTCATCATTTAGGCTATAAACAAGGTTGAAAAAAACTGTATGAGAAATTTGAGTGATTTATTTATTGAATCGAAACATTAAGTTTCAAATCAAACTGAGTTGTATGTTTCAAATTGAAAACATATAAATTGCTACGCGATTATGAAGAATCATAAAACACATAAAATTCATCTGAAAATGTAACCTTAATTCATTAGAGTCACCTTATAAGAAAGCTTTTAAACATTAAAAATTGGAATAAAAGTTTCAATCTTAGCAACATAAAAATTAGTAACACAAGATAAAACTAGATTCTAAACTTTTTTTTTTGTTATAATCATCACTATTAGGATCATCTAAAGAATCGTGATATCTAATAGCTATATCCTTCATCATCACTATGATATAAATCATAACATCTATTTTCTTTATCCAACACTATTGCTTTCTTCTTTCTTGTTTCAAGTTTATTATAGGAAACAAACTTACAATAAGCAAACTAAATAAAAATTTATTACATATTTCATAATGAATGCATTTCATTAACCTTTAAATGGATTTGATGTATTTCCTGTTGCATTTGGTGCTTCACAAATCCTCACTAACTTTTGTTTTCTTAATAACATCAATATTTTTGCTCTTCATCTTGGTTAACCACCCATTCATTATCTGATGATAAATTCACAAGATTCAAAGGCTAATCATCTTCTTTGCTTCTAGTTAGCTTGAATTTTATCTTTTATTTTTTTATTATATGTGATATAAGTCAGTTTGTTTATTCTAAAAATACCCAAATATTTTTTGTTTTTGTATATACTTAGTTCAATGTCCTCCAATTTTGAAGAAAGATGGAGAAATTATATTATCTATTCTCTTAATTATGAAATTATAACTCTCCTACTTAAATAATATTACAAGCTAGGCCAAACTTAATTCCTACCATTACAACTTACTAAAGATAAATTAACCAAAACAAAAAAAGAAATACAACATAATAAGAGAGGATTTAATGAGAATAAATCTAAAACAAGAAACTCAGAATTCCACACTTCCTCTCAATCTAGGTCATAGTTGTTGTAAAGAACACCTTGGTATTCAAATCTATGAAGCTGCTTGACGGTAGAGCTTTTTTGAAGACATCGATAACTTGAAGATGTGTATGAATATAGATTAAGTGAATAATGTCTCCATTGACCTTCTCCCATATAAAATATCTATCAATCTCAATGTGTTTTGTTCTGTCATAAAACACATGATACTTTGCAATGCTAATAGTAGCTTGGCTATCAAAGAATATCTTTATGGAATTGACCGTAGAATATCCCAACTCAGTAATTTTTGGATCCCCATTCCTTCACAAATTCCTAATGCAAGTGCCCGATGCTCATATTTTGCATTGCTTCTAAAGACCACTACTTCTTGTTTCTTGACGTGACAAGGTTTCTCCAGACATAGGAACAATTCCCAGAGTTGGATTTTTTGTCTGTGAGTTCTTCCTAGCTATCATCAGTGTAAACCTCTAATTTCTCGTTATCAGATTTCTTAAAATATAATCATTTTTTAGAGTTTTCTTAAACTCGATATTCTGCAAATCATCTCTAAATGTTCTTCATTTGGACTATTGATACGTTGACTCAGTATGCCGACAGAGTAAGAGATATCAGTTCTAGTGTTTGATAAGTGGATACACTTATTCACCAATCTCTAGAATCTATCTATTTCCATTGGTATTTTTTCTCTCATTGACTTTAACTTTTGTTAAAATTCATAGGAGCCTCAACATAATTGCACCCCAACATTCCTTGTTTATTTTAATTGGTCTAACATATATTTTCTTGGGATATCACAATGTCCATTTTAAACTTCGTCACTTCCTTGCGAAAAAGTTTCTCTTAACATCTTAATTTTAAATTAAGCTGTAAGAATTTATTTAATCTTCATACCTTTTTTTTATTATTAGCCATAAGTATCAATCATCTGCATTGACAATAAGTATAGTTTTCTTACCTCCCTAGGTATGCTTTTCGAATAGTGTATGATCTTTTGGCGTTGGATGTATCCATTAGATTTCATAGTTTTGGCAAATTTGCCAAATCAAGCCCTTGGAGATTGTTTGAGGCCTTATAGTGATATTCTTAGTTTACAAACTTGATGTTTTTTAAGTCATTTTTTTAGTTCTGGTGGGATCGCCATATACACTTCTTTCTCAAGTTTTTCATTCAAAAACACATTCTTAATAACAAATTGATGTATTTCTCACTCTTAATTGACTACTAAGGAAAGAACTCTTACAATTTTTTTAACTTCGCCACTCGAACGATCTTGATAGTTATCCCATAAGATTGAGTCAACCTTTTGGCCACCAACCTAGCATTGAACCTCGCAGTGCTCCACTGCATCCAACGGGCTTTTTATAGGGAGGGGGTTTTGTAAGAATCTATGTTTCATTTAGATCATGTGCTTATTAATCGCTTATTCAACAGTTATGCATTTTAAAGTGCTTTGTGAATAAATTTGGATATTTGCACAGTATTAAGGTTAGATACAAATGCTTTATAAGTTGATGACAACTTTTCATGGGGAACTCAATGCTGGGTAAAAGAATTTTTGCATCATTCCCTGTCTTTTGTCACGACCTAGCTCGAGACTTAGAATTAACTAAGACGGGAACAAACGGTTGGATGGTGAAAATTAAATTTTTTTATTAATTTTCTATATTTAATTATTAACAAATGAAAGAGTCACTAAACTAATTAACTTATGACGGTTTAATTTAA